ACAAGAAATTGGGCCATGTGATTATAGAAGCTGAGGAGTCTCATGATGATGTCTGTCTACAAAGTGAAGACCCAGAGAAGGCAGACCGTGGCAGGAGGGCAAGCCACAGAGGGTGGCATCAAGGTTAACTATTAGGTATTTGGCAGAAAAAAAGACCTGAAACCACTCCCTACCAGGATCACTTGTAACAAAACAGAACATGCTCAAGAAATTCTCCATGATCCCAAATCATAGAAAAGTTGGTCATGATTTTTGGGGCCTGTTCTAGCTCTCTAATCCACTGGCATTCTCCACAGTGCCATTGTCTTTCTTAATAATCAGTCTCTATTTTTATGGTTATCCATTCATGCATCACTGGTCCAGTTCTTTGTTCCAGGTTGCAAAAACCTGGAAATTTCAGTGAGTGTTCTCTGGAGTTAGATCCGTGATTAAAGCAGTACTATTGTAATGCCAGTCTGAAGGCCTGAGAGCCAGGGTACTTAAAGGAAAGTCCCAGTCTAGAAACAGAAGGCCAAAGTATCAGCCTAAGTAGCCAAGGAGAGACTTCTCTCTTCTTCTGCCTTCATGTTCCCTTCAGGCCTACAGAGAATTGCCTGGGTACCTAGCCTATTTAAAGAAAACTGTCTGCTGGCCTCAAAGCCATAGTGCCAGTGCTCATCTCTTCCAGAAATGCCCTCACAGATCCACCCAGAAATAATGTTTAACCAGATACAATTGGTTATCACCCTTTAAAAACTGATGAGCAGGGCAGCTATGCTCAACAAGAATTTCCAGGTGCAGGTTCTGCTGTTCTCAGCTCACACCAGAAGAACAAGAGGAGCAAAATGACTTGACATGTTTTGAGGACTGGTAAAGACAAGCCACAGCTTATGAAACTGAATGGGCTTGTGCTCTAAATTTTGAGCCAATTCCTCGCAGGCAAATCTGGTATAATTAAGCTGTTTCTTCTCTCTAGCAGAGAAAAGACAAATAAACCATATGAAACAGAAGATAATCAAGAATAAATTCTGGAGGCTAGAGAGTGGTCAAGAATACTGACTGCTCTTCCAGACCACCCTTGTTCAACTCTTGTTCACTTTGCAGCACTCACATGGCAGCTCACAACCGTCTATAACTCTGGCTCCAGAAGATCTGACACTCTCTTTTGGCATCTGTGGGCACCATGCACACAGACATGCAAACAAAACACACATACACACAACATTTTCAAGACAATTTTTAAGAAAGAGTAAATCCCGTTTCACTTTAGGACTTGATCATAAATTAGTATTAAAATTCTAGTTTATATAGTCATTGAAGGGGAATGTTCTTTACATAGATCGCTAGTCATTAGACTGTTCCCTTCAGTCTTCCACACTCACCCTCTGCAAAAGCAGCAAGTTCTCTTAACCACTGAGCCATCTCTCTGACCCCTTTAATTGTCAGCTTTAATAAGCAACTCAAATCGTGACTAAAATAAGCATTCAATAGGAACAAATGCATGCATTTCAAATACAAGTTGCTACCAGGTCCCTTGAGAAATGAGTTTCCAAAAACAAGAGTAAAATATAATTACCCCTCCATATTCTTGGGAAATTGACTCCAGGACTCCACTAACACCCAAACCTGCAGATTCTTAGGTCCCTCATATAAAGCAGAGTCATGTCTGTTGATGGAATGTGAGCTGAATGAAGGGAGAAGAGATAGGAAAATACAGGGGAGAGCAAGTAGAAAGGGAAGACTAGAGAGAGAAAGGTTTGTACATGGGGAGGACTTTGGGGGGGGGAGTGAGAAAATAAGGGGGTAGAGGAAGGCTTAAAAATGAAAGGTGAATAAAAAAAAAACAACCTGTGGAAACCTATGATCTTGCAACCCAAGTAAGAGATAATTAGAGGGAGCAGCAGAACACAGGTGGCATGACAGAACAGCTGGAGGTAATGCTGTGAGCTAAAGGGTTAAGTGGAGATGGGGGCAGGGAGGTAGGACAGGTGGGGTTGGGAGTGGATTAGTCAAACATGAGGGTGTATGAAAAACCCTTTACTATGTAAGATAATTAAGAAACATAATATAAAACAAGGGGGTTTGGTCATTGGCACCTGCCTGGCGGACAATACTGCTTCCAGAAGACTTTAGTGAAATCTCAGTGTCAGAAACTATATACCTCCCTACAAGTTGTTGGTCAGGTAGGCCCCAGAAGCACCCAAAATAGCACAGACTATTGCCATCTCTCTTGCTTGTTCACTATAACTAAAAGTAGGAAGCCCACTAATGAAGACACTACCCATTATCTCGGACATTGAGAGATCAACCTCAAACTGACCAGGAAACTCTCTTCCACAGAGTTGGAAGGTGCTAGGCAACTTGCTAGGAAAGAAGCAATTTTCCTCCAAAACACTTCCAAGTACATTAGACACATCTATCAAATGAGGCGGGGCGGGGGGGGGGGGGGGGGGAGATGAAGTCAAGTGTGATTATTGAGACCATGAACACTGAGGGTGTACTGACTAGATTTTAGTAGTGGTTCTATCATTGGCAAATACAACTAAACAAGTTACTCCGAGTTAATATCTCTCTGATTCTTCAGTTTTCTCACCTGTAAAATCTTCAAGTTCTTGTAGTACATGAAAATCCATACATTTTGCTAGGGAAGTGTCGAGCTTTAGTCAGTGTTGCCCCCTCAGGAACACCAGTTGGGTAGCTGACTGTTGCCAGTGACAAACAGCAGCCGGTAGTCAACCCAGCTGCCCGTCTGCAGTTCTAGACTTGTGTACTGTATGTGCACATATCCTGGTGCACTTTTTCTTCTTGCATTTCAGACTGTCCACCTGCTACCAATTGTCTTTTGTCAGGAGCAGAAGATTGTCCCAATGAACCTTCATTCCTTCCTAAGGAAGTTATCTTCTAGGAAGGTGACGCATGGAGTTCACATACACTGTTGGCGTGGGGTTTGAGTCGGTAAAACCAGTTTGGAAAAGAACTGAGTCATACTCAAAAATGGTATCATGAGCATATTCCTAAGTGTGGGATCTGGAGAATATTTTTATTAAATGTGTGTTGAGAGACACGTGAGAATATTGTTCCTTAGATCAAAATACTGCCAGAGAACTAAGACTCAGAGTTGGGTGTAGTGGCATCTTGTTCTGCCAGTGGATTTGCAATGGTGGCCACATCCTAGGGGCGTTGCTTCAGGTGTGCAGATGTGACCTGTTATAAGGCTCTGAGCCAGCCCCTCCTCTTCCACATAAGGGGTCACATTCGCAGACCTGAAGCCACACCCCTAGGATGTGGCCACCACTGCAAATCCACTGGTGGAACAAGTTGCCACTACAGTTGAGGATACAGTTCAGCTGGTAGAGTGCTTAGTTAGCATACATAAACTCAGGCATGGTAGTGCCTGCCTGCAACCTAGCCCTTGGGAGGAGAAAACAGGGTGTTAAAGTTATCCTTGGCTACATAGTGAACTCAAGGCCAACACAATCTGAAGAGACCTCACCAAAACAAGACAGCAACAACAACCAAAAATCAACCCACAAAACCTTATGTCTTCATTAACAAGAGTATGAAAAATTAAATTGTCTTAGTGATCCAAGAGGCAGCATTGTGATTAGATCTCAAACAAATGAATAACTAAATCTGAGTGAAAAACATTACCGTATCATTCCCTTTTCCAAAACAAAGTACACAAGCATCCAAAGGAAATAGTATTTTACATGAGCATGCATGTGGTAAAATTATAAATAAAACCAAGAATAACATGAAATTGAGATTAATAATATCTGTGGTCATAGAAAGACCGTGGCAGAACTCATAAAAGCTTAGTTCCCACAGTAAGGAGTAAGAATAGAGACACCATTTGACTCTCCTTTAGCTTATGTCTTTATTTGTGTGAAATATGTTGTTAATAAAGAATAGATGGAAGCTTCTAGCCAAAATGTTCCATAGCATCAAAGCTGATTTTAAGAACATTAATTTACAGCAGACTCTAAGCCAGTGAATGGGACATTCAAACTGATCCTTGGTGCTCCAGTGAGAGACCTATAAAACAGGCTGTTGTTCCCTAACCTGAGGTTATACAAAGGAGTGAGGTACTCTATGAGCCAGCTCATCAGGGAGGACTCCCTGGTCGTCAGACAGCAGCTCACTGTGGTGACTGACCCATGCTGCAGGCTGTCTTTATGGCCAGTATGTCTTGCTATGTCTACCCATACTTGAAATGCAATAATACAAGAGTAAGAGCTGGTGACCCGCAAGCTGAGCTCCTAGCTCCCCACAGACATCACATAGCTAACACACCAGAGACCTCTCCAACTCCCCATGGGAAGCAGCTTATGTCAGGGCTGTTTCTTTTTGACTCTCTGTAGACACTTATGTTCATGCTACTTTGATATTAGAATGTTAAAATTCCTATCAGCGCTATAGCAAGTTCTTTCTTGGTGTGTTTTCCTTTGTGACTTCCATCAGCTTTTCTCCATCTCAGCTGGAGTGTCAGAGTGAGGAACTCTCATCCCCATGTTCTGTGGGCTCCCATTCTCTGACTGGGCCTCTATCTCCAAATATTTTTCTAAGTAGAAAAGTGAATTCTGGACAGAAAGTTATCACAACGTTCATGTCTGCCGGTCTCCTCTCCTAACTCCCCCCCTCCCCACCCCCGGCTAGTTCGATATCCTCTCTGCTTAAGAACAAACTGTGATCAAATCTATAGTTTTTGTTACTCAACACAGTTATAAAAGACAATGTTATCCAGTCCTGGCCTCCACTGAAAAAGCATTTGCACAACAAAAATATCCTTTCCCCTACTTGAAGATTTTGTATATTTCTTTGAAGAGATGCCTAATCTCTCAAACAAAAAAGAGCCGTATCTAACACCTCAGAGCTCCTGAGCTTCACTTTGGCAAAGTGAAGCTGCTTTTGTCTGCTTTTGTCTCTTGCCTCAGAGACATTCTACCCTGGTAAGAGATTTTTCCTGGTAGCCTTTCTATTATCATGATTCGTGTACCTGTAAAAAAGAGGAAACTGATTTGAAGGTTTCATTTTATTTCAGCAGTACATATTCACAAATTATTCAGGTTGACAATTACTAAAACCAAACATCCCACCCTCAACTTCTCTTTGGATACAACCTCTTCCAGTTCTTTTTGCTTCTTCTCCCAGCATTTACTCCCCGTGGTTAGACAGCATGCTGTGTGGCTATTTATTGCTCCCAGCTTTGGTTAGCATGAATTCTCTCTGATAGAAGATGGAAAACCAAGCTTCTGTACCTCTTTCCCCTATGGGCATATGCACCCCACACATTTCCTGAGAAAGATGCTATCGTAGTGTTTCTACCTGTGTGTCATTCTCTGTGTAAATATGCAACCATGTAGTGTGTGCAAGTTATTATTCATGCTCTTAGCTAACACTTTTCTCTAGTATAATAATGACTGCATCAGGCTGTTTATCTATGTGTTTGTCTCAAGCTCTCCCTCTCCACGTGTGCTCCTCCAATGGTTTCTTGTTCTTGGTGCTATCCTTCCCAGCATTCCTGGACCTACCTATATGAGCTGCTTTCTAGCCCTCCTGGGAGTTGTCTTCACCTTTGCCAGATTTCTGCTTTCTTGGCTGCCTGTCTCCTCTTGTCTGGGAGCAACACACCAGTGCTTTCTGATCCAAGTGTAAGAGTAATAAAATGCTGAGCCCTTTCCTACTAACAATGTCTCCCTCTGTGTTCTTCCTTGTTGGTGCCTTGCATCTTAGGGGTTTTCCATTGGAAGTGTGATCATTGACTTGTTCGGTCAAGAGTGGGACTGGACTCACTTGGCTAGATGCTTTCTGGGAATGCAGCAGATGTATCAGATTGTAGTCTTCACTGTCAGGTAAATAATAAAGCAGATGCTTAGATTTGGGGTTGGAGGAGTCCCAGTTATCTTTCAGCCTTTTCTCTGGGATACAGTTTTCTAGTAGGCAGATGTTCCGGGGCCTTTCTCTGACATCTGTCTGTTATCACTCTGGTAGCTGAATAAAGGAAAGAAACAGAGTCCTCGTTGTATATCAACACTACCTGTAGTTCCCTCCAACTTTAGAACATAACCTTCCTTCCACCCACAAACTGTGTCAGGGGTCAACAGCTGCAAGGAGAGAACCTTGGCTTTGTTTTTTGGGTTTGTTGTTGTTTTTAATAATTTTTACATGTATGAACATTTTGTCTGCATATATGTCTGTGCACCATGTGCATGCCCACAGAGGCCACAAGAAGGCATAGAATCCAGCGGAACTGGAGTCACAGATGGCAATGAGCCTCCATGTGGATGCTAGGAACTAAACCTGTGGTCCTCTGCAAGAGCAACAAGTGCTCTTAACCCCCAAACCATCTCTCCAGCTCCCAAACTCTGGTTTTCTTGTAAGGATGAGAAAGGTGTGTGTGTGTGTGTGTGTGTGTGTGTGTGTGTGTGTGTCTGACATGAGAGGGAGTTTTCATCCAGACTTTAGAGCATTTCTGGAGGTTCCCAACGGTGGCAGGGGGAGGGGGGAGCATCCAGTCAACATTTCTGTTTAAAACTCTGATTAGCCATGTAGACCTGGGCCCACTTCTTTATTTCTCAGAGCTTTCATTTCTTCATCTGTGCTTTCTTGCATGGGTTATATGGTTGCACAGCACCTGCTCAGGCTTCTCAGCATGGGGATGACACTTGACTATCAGGATCAACACAATGGTCATGTGAATAACTGGTAGTGTCTGTAGCCGCTTTCTGTAGATAGAAAGTGTCTTTTTCTAATATCAAGGACTTTTTTTTTATACCACTTCTCATCTTCTGCCCAATGCTTTTCCCAAAGGCCCAAATCAAAGCATAGCACCATCTCCTTATTTTAATTGTCATCCCAGTGGGTTAATAGGAGGGAGCAATGACTACAATGATGTCAATCCAAACCCAAGTCTCAAAGTAAAATTGAGATGCAAATCCATGACTCCTCCTCCTCCCTATTCCACAAACAATTCCTGGATCCCCTAGGGAAATAATCCCAACCCACCCCCAACTTCATGATCTTCCTAATCCCTAGTAAGAGAGAAACAAAAGGCAAATTCTTCCATTTTGTTGCTAGAACCCCTCTCTTAGGACAAAAATGAAATTACTCTTTACCTCTTGGTATTGCTCACTCTCTTTTGTCTTAATCCTTCTCCTCCTTTTTCTCCAATATTGTCTGGACTTGCTTTGTTCCAGAGCAGGCTTCCTCTTCAAACCAAAGACCACTCCTGAGTTCTTAGGATGCTCTCCAAGATGCACCAAGGCCCCCAGTAGGTTTGGCTATGTCTCGAGAGCCTTAAGGGGGATAGGATCTGGAGAAGCTGGGGTGCTTGAGGATGTCTTAAAGTTAGGAAATTAGACTGCCTGGGCCAGAGGCCTAGCATAGGGATCTGAAGCAAAGCATGGCTTACTGTGCTGGACAATTTTTCCCAATGTTACATTTCAGAATGCAATATTCCAGTAGAAACATGTTTCCTATGTTTCTCATTTAGTCCCAACTACTAAAAATACATCTAATGAAATTTCTGAAATAGGCTTTACTAGCAAAGTTGTAGTCAATTAAATGTTGAGAACCAAGACTCACTGGTTATGATGCTACAAAGTAATTTGGAGACCATGAGTGAATGAAGGTGGGCACCAAGATTCATGGTGTCCTCCATACCTGCATAGCAGCTCCCTGAACTCTTAATTCTGTTCTTCAACTATACACAAAAGGGAAGGCCACACTTTGCCTTTGATTTCTGTAGACGATCTTTACTGAACACATCCCTTAATCGATCTTTGAAATTCTCCCCAGCAAAGTAGTAGAGAAAGGGATTGAAGCAGCTATTGGTTGCAGCCAAGGCCAGTGTGATGACCATGGCCTTATGTATCTCATCCCCACATGAATCTGCATTCCATGTGACCAAGTGGAGGGTCCGCAGTGCATGGTAAGGCAGGAAACAGAGGAGGAAGATGAGCATGGCAATGATGATGGTGATCAACGCCTTCCTATGAGAAGCCCGCAGACCCGACTCTGGAATCTCCACCTTCAACAAGACCCGGATGATCAGGAGGTAGCAGATGGTGAGTGTGACAAATGGAAGCAGGAAGCCTGCCACTAATGCAATGTGGTTCATGATCAGTAGCTTACTAAACTTTTGGGGAGTCAGCTCCAGGCACAATATAATGTTGTCCTTCTTCTCATAGCCATTCTTCAGAAGCATCGCTGAGGAAGCCATGATAAAAATCCATATGACCCCACAGAGGATCCAGGCACTCCTGACGCTGGTGACATGGAGCTGTTGAAAAGGGTGGACAGTGGCCAGGAAACGCACAACACTCAGCACAGTTAAAAAATAAATGCTAGTGTACATGTTGACATATAAGGAATAAGACATGATTCTGCAGGCTAGATCCCCAAATATCCAATTGGACTCTCTGAAATAATAGTCCGCCCTGAAGGGCAGGGTGCTTATGAACAGGAAATCTGAAATGGCGAGGTTGAGCATGAAAACATTCACAGAGGTGGACTTCTTGTAAGTCTGTAGGAAGACATATATGGAAAAGCCATTTCCCAAGGCTCCCCAGACAAATATGATCAGATATATGATGGGATAAAATTCTTTCTTGAAGCTTTCTATTGTACAGTTCCTGTCACTATTATTGCTGAAGGCCCCAGTTGGTTCCATTTCTGATATGGAGTTGGACAGAGGCTAAGACATAAGTTTTCTCTCTATATTGGATTAGAAGAAATAAACACAAAAATTACTTTGTTCAATGCCACTTTTTTTTGATCATTGATTGAACGTTTGCAGCATTCATTCTCACTTGGAGAGAAGCAAGTTCCTCTGACACCCTCTTCTGACCTCTACAGGCATCAGGCATACTCATGGTGGACCTACCATCATGCAAAACATCCATGCCATAAAATAAAAACATAATTTTTTAAAAGAATAGACAAATAAAGTTCCCAAGCAGGAGGTGATATATGAAAAAGCAGCCTTAGAATATTAGAAAAAAAGGAAAGAGAATAATGAGCAAAAGAATGCAAGAACAGCATCTTCCCATCCCATTTTCAAATTCAAGTTATACTTGATCCTTGAAACGAAAACTGTAATACTGTCTGATATGGCTTTAAGTAAATGTAGAAGAGTAATTGACTAGTGTATCTGCATGAGGGGAAATAAAGATATATGAAGGGGGTTAATATTGTATACCCAATTTGAACTGACAAACTGTGCTGAGAGATTGTGATAAGAGTATTTGCATGATGTAATAGCATAAACTAAAAAAAACTATACAAAGATATATCCTAAAACATTAAAGATAAATTAAAATAAAATTTTTAAAGAGTTCAGGTATCAGGTAACCAATATGAAGGCAGTGAAAAGAAAACAAGTAATATAAACAGAAAAATCAGGGATTTATAACCCCAATATATTGAATATACACTAAATATCAATGGTCTAAACGAAAGACCTATCTAGATACTGCTCTCAAGAAACTCACCTCAGATAGCAATATTGACAGGTACAGAGAAAAAGGAAACAAAGGTAAGTTACTCAAATCAAACCAAATTAGAAATGGCTCTAGATTTAAGAGCAAAGAAAATTACCAGAAAACATAAAATAAAGGAATATTCTCTACTGATAAAATAACTTCTCTACTATGAAGACCCCCGAGTTCTAATGGGATGTACCAAGCAACAGAGCTATGATAAGTGAAGCAGAACTGACAGAATTGGGCGGCAAATCCACAGTTATATTAGTGACCTGAAGACAACCCCACAGGCACCGATAGAGAGTAAATAGGCAAACACACACAAACAAAACCACCAAGAAACTAAAAGCATCTACACCAACATGGAACTGGCATCAACACAACAGTTCATTCCACACGAGCAGCACATGCTGTCTTCTCAAGTCCCCACAGAACATACACATTGCCCCCACAATTGCCCTACCTACAGCCAAGTCTTGTCTTCTCCTTTGGGAACCAATGATTTTAACCAGGATCTTTGTGTGACCACTGGCTTGAAACAATCCATCAAAACCTGGTGGCTTCACAACTGAAGACAACAGGCTACCTCACCTCTAAAATCCATCAGTAGCCAGTTGTTTGGCAGAGAGAAGTAGGGCTATAAGACTCTGTAGAATCTGTGGCTGGCTATTGACAAACCCAGTCTCATATAGGCCCCATGCACCCATTCATAGCTACTGTGAGCTGGAGTTTCCAGTGGTTTTGTCATACCTAGAAGACAGTCATTTGTAGCCCTTCCCCCTCTCTTCCTACTCTCACATTGCCCCATCCCCTGTGTTCTCTCCACTCCCTAGCTCCCCTCTGAGCTTCAGGCCAATGCTCCAATATCCTATTTGGGGCTAAGTGCTCAGTTGTCACATAGTGTCAGCAGCTCAAATAGCCATGGATCCCTGCTTTTAATGCAAAGAGAAGCTTCTCTGAGTAATGATGAGGTTAGCATCTCTCTAGCTCAGGTGGCTGGTAGGGTAGTATATGTGTGCCAAACATTTTAAAAATACCAGCTATTTGAATATATGTACCCATCTAGATATATAAACATAAAGGCATATTATTAAAAGATCTGCTGTAGATCATTATATAAACAATGTACAGAACAAGTAAAGTTAGAATTTGGGTCTTTATGTAAAATAATTCTTATTTTTATACCCATGAGTAATTTTTGTCAATAAAAGTTATTTTTGTCTTCTTTAACATCCTTTTAAGTTGTTTTCAGAAAGATCCCTTGCTTTCCCAAAAATCAAAGTTAAGCTCCTAGCAACTATTGTTAATTGTGGTTGTACAATGTTGGCAATAATTATTTCTTGACTTTAGATAGGTAGGACTTACATCTTGTCTCTTGAACAACTACTCGACCCTTACTTTCCCAAATCCAGGCCCAAAAACTAGAATAAGAAGGCCATCATATGTCTTTTGGAGCTCAAAGTGTCTTCAGGTTGCTACAGGTGGCCTCTAACAGATGGTCTCCTTCATCCTAGGACAAGAAAGACAATGTGGTTAGTCAGATTTCTAAATATCCTTTGAATTTTAATGAACTTCAAACTAATATGAGCATCCTTTTGTCTATTCGGCTTAGTCATAAAAAGCTGATAAATAAAAATAAAAGTTGACTATGTTTAAGTAAAATATGTCAATAAAAATATATTCCAAGGGTTACACTTTTGTTTGGGTTTTAAAAAGTGGAGAAAGAGATTACAAGGCCCCATCCCCTAGCCAAGAGTTATTGGCAGTTGATGAGCTGGAGGAAGAGGGACTCAGTTTTTTTCTTAGGCTCCTCTAAGTTGCCCATTTCCAGTGGATGGCCTTGCATGCCTGTGCAGACAGCACTAACTGGACTTAATGGGCTGTAAAGAAAAAAAAAGATATGAACTTGAGAGGGAGATGAGGGGCTTCTGGGAGGAGCTGGGGAGGAGTGTGGAGGAAATATGATCAAAATACATTGTATATGTTAATAAAATCCTCTGAGAATAGATAATTAAAATTAAATACTAAAAAAATTGATAGAAGCATGTTTATTCTTAAACAACAAACTTATTGTAACAGCTATGTGCCAAATGATTTTCTTTAAGAGTCTAGGCCCACGACATCACTTTTCTTTTCAGCCATGCAAAGTCTGAACAAGTCAGCAAGGGTGTCAGCTAAACTACAGGAAGAACATCAGAGACCTGTTATATATTTTGGCCTTTCCTTAGGTCTAGTGGGCCCTGTGTGTCTGTCTTGGCTAAGAGTCATATCTGCTGCAGCGGGGCTTTTAGAAGTCTTAAGCCAACTCAGCTGAGTTAGCTTTGGGAGTCCCAACTAAACTTAGTCATTTCCCTGCTGCTTTTACTGAATGGGGGGAGGGACCTCAGTCACCCATCCTAGGCAGCTTTCTTGATTTTCCTCTATGCATTACCATAGCACTCTAAAGTCTGTGACCATGCCCCCTCCTGCTTAGAAAAAGACGTCCAGGATCTGGTTCCTCTATTAGGAAATCACCATACCCTCTATAGACCTTCTAGTACCTCCTCTGATACCCCTGACTTAATCTTTGTGTGTTACTGGTTCATAAGTAAAAAAGAAAAACTAGAAATTGTTAAGATTATATTGTCACTGACTTGAATTTATTCTTGGAATATAAATTTCTTCCAGAAATAAAATGAATAAATTGGCCTCAGGTAGACCTGCCAGCAGAGAAAAGATAAAAGTTATTTATGCTAATGTAAAGTATATGAATTAGGATGAATCCATGAATTCAGAATGGTTAGAAATGAGATCCTTTAGGTTAAGATGGGGCATATATTTAATCCTAGACTTGGAAGGCTAAACCAGAATAATTTCAAGTTTGAGGCCAACCTGGACTAAACAGTAAGATACTAGAAAAGGGTGGAAGATAGGGAATGACAGGAGGAGGAAGGGGTGTTCTAGACACACTAAAACCTCTATAAAACAGTAAAGGAACTGAGTAACCATGAGGTAATTTTCTATTATAGAAAGAGCTATATTAAAAGTTACATTTGGCAAAACTAATTCGCGATACTCCCACAACAGCCATGGTCAGTTAGCAGTGACATTAAGCCAGGATTGGTGGGGTAATTTAAAGGATTGCAAAAAAAAAAATACCCCCATGCATACCCTGACTACAGCAACACCTCCCTCATACAGCCATAAGAGCAGACAGCCAAAGCCTTAAGATCTTCTGAGCATCCATCCCCTAAAGGTCTATGGGGTTACTCTAGTCCTGTTTCTATCGAGATTGCATAAGACCTTGTCTTCATTGGAGCACTCTGGCTGTAATAGGGGGTGGGGAGTAGCTTACTTTTATCTTCCCAATTCAAGAAGTTCCAAGTCTTCTCTACAGCCAAAGAAACAAATCCTTCCCTGGTACCACTGTTAAAGAACAACATGGTTTTGTCTGTTACATAGAAACTTCTTTGTCATCGTCATCATTTGCAAACATCAGCAAAGGTAATGAGAACCAAGGGAGTTCTAAAACCCTCAACCTGGTGATGGTGGTGCATGCCTTTGATCCCAGCACTCAGGAGGCAGAAGCAGGTGGAGCTCTCTGAGTTCCAGGCCAGCCTGGTCTACAGAGTCTCAGGACAGAAAGGGCTACACAGAGAAATCTTGTCTCAAAAAACAACAACAACAAAAAAAAAAAAACAACAAAAAAGGACTGGACTTGTAGCTCAAGGGTAGAGTACCCGCCTAGCATGCAGGATGTCCTGGGTTTGATTCCCCAGTATGAGAAAAGAAAAAAAAAAAGAAAAACTAAAACTCTCAACCTAAGGCTGTCTCCTGCTATGGTGGTTTAAATGAAAATGCTTCCCCATAGGCCTATCGTGCATCAGGAAGGGTGGCTTTCTTGGAGTAGGTGTGGCTATGTTGGAGGAGGTGTGTCACTTGGGCATGGGGTGGGCTTCGAAGGCTCAGAAGCTCAAGCCAGGCCCAGTGGTTCACCCCCTCTTCCTGCTCTTAACTACCTCTCCAGCTCCATGTCTACCCACACACCGCCATGCTTCCCACCATGAGACAATGGACTAAACCTCTAAACTGTAAGCTGGCCCCCCAAAAGTGTTTCCCTTTATAAGAGTTGTCATGGTCATGGTATCTCTTCATAACAATAGAACACTGACTAAGACACCTGCCATACCACTGGCCTTCTCCTGGAGAAGTAACTACCTCCCTCTGAGTTCCTAAGAGGGGCTTACTTGGGGGTTGCTTCCAATCCTGGATTCTATTATTTTATTCCCCAATGGACCACTACAGGAAATGGGTGCCTTCAAAAGATTCCCCAGGGCAGCTTCTGTGTAATTTGAAGACTAGACATCTGGTCTTTTGGAAATGACAGTCAGAGAAGCACTCATGAATCTCTATGGGAAAAACCTCAGGGGAACTGTGAGAAAGAAACCCAGCTAACCAAAAAACTTCAATACTTTAACCTTGCATTATGTTACTCAATGAAAATGGCACTTGTAGTCAAATACTAGGAGTTATTGCTTAAAGAATCCTCACTCTGAATGTTTGTGGGAGCTCCCAGTTGCTGGGTTTCAGAAGTGAGAAGCCTCCACTACAAGCTGTGTGGCAGCCACTGATTGTAGAAATAGGTAGCTTCACACAAGACATAACAGAGCATGTGTTCTGATCATCCTCAGTCACTCTACAACAGACAGACTTGGCCATTATTATATTGTGGTCAACTCTATTATCAGATTCAATATCCCTTCTCTCCCTCTGTCATTCTGAACCAATTATTGTTTTTTGCTGCTCAGGGGAAGAAAGATAATTTCTTTGTAATTATTTTTTTACATAGACCACAAATACTGTTCTGAATTTAACTGATTGCTCCCAAAGCTTAATAACTCTCAGGAGAAAAAGCATACCAAAAATAAATTTTCTTTCCATATCCCACTGATGCTTAAGTTTCTGTTGCATGATTAATTTCAGACATCAGCCTTTTAATTTTTAAAATTAGTTATTTTTGTATGTGTGTGCAAGTGTGCAGTCACAAATGAGGACATGTGTAAGTGCCTACACACACACACACACACACACACACACACACACACACACACTCATACTCACACATGAATGTCATACTGTGTGTGTAAATCCTGAGGGATTTTGTTCTGTCCTTCTAGAATGTGGGTTCCAGAGATTAAACTCAGGTCCTCAGACATGGCTGCAAACACCTTTATCAACTGAGCCATATTACCAGCCACAGACATCATCTTATAACCACCATATATTGACTTTACATCAACAACACGCTTCTGTCAAGGTCTTGACACAATATCAGAAAAACCTAATCTTTAAAAATAATAACAAAAACAAAAAAACAGTCATTTCATTTCAACAATTACCCCAACAAAGCTTATTGCTGTCATAATCAATGACCATTAAATGCTACTAATAATACAGCCTGCCCCAATGGGACAGTCATATTGACACACAAGACCTTGTCCTGTGAGTTAGAGAAGTTCAGATGTTCTAACTACCACCCCTTCTGTGAACCGTGCTCCCTCCTCTATCCCCAAAGGATTCAGGGAAATCTCCAAAAAAAAAAGCAAACACAGGATACTTGAGCAAACTGCTGGTGGAAGACCCAGACCCCTATATTATGTATGATCTGAGCAGCAGTTAGCACAGCTGGGATGACAGCATTGGGGATAATCATCCAAAAGCTGTGTCTGACCCCAGAGAAATGCATATTGGTTTCTGTTCTTGTTTTAAATTTGAATTTATTAAGCAGAGCTGTCACGAGTAATCACATTAACCTTAGTGTTTTCATAACTAGAGTTAGAATTTCTGTCTGCACCTGTATAAACGCCACAGAGTAGTCCCAGAGTGTGGAAAGGCCCTCCCTGGATGACGAGGAAAACACACACACACACACACACACACACACACACACACACACAAACACACGCCCGCAGGAAAGGCCCTCCCTGGATGACGAGGAAAACACACACACACACACACACACACACACACACACACACACACACACACGCACGCACGCACGCACGCACGCACGCACGCACACACACTCACTCACTCACTCACTTGAGGAATATATATACTTATTACCCAGGTACTAGTTTCCCTGTTTCCAGAATCTATTACAGAGCTAATGACCACATTTATTTCAGAAAACTAGTCTTCTTTTAACTCTATTTCAAATGACTTGACAACAGCACAAAGCCTGTAGTTGTTGCTTTTTCACACTTTCTTCCTGAGGCAGTCCTTTTCCAGTTGTTTAAATGGAAGATCTTGAAGACGAAAGCACCCCTTTAATAACTGAGAGACACCCAAAGTATAAATGAAAAGATTTTCTTCCTTTCAGGTCCTGGCAGGTACAGAGCTTGCCTGGAAGCCACATACACCTAAGTCAAAGTAAGCAGGGAGAGAGATGGGACCCCACGGAGGGATGACTTAGAGTGGAGCAGTGGGAAGCAGACACAAGATGCAGACGTAGCCCTATGTGTCTTCACGGTGCATGTGGGACGCGGTGGCCAGGGAGGACAGCCAAGGAGGGTGTATTCGCTATTCTACAGGAAGCATCATCAGGAGGTGCAAGGATACTGCAGCCATCTGGATCAGTCTCACCAAGGACCTCTGGGTGAAGTGCTAGGACCAGAAACCTTCAAGAGTGACTGAGTCCTGATTCTGGTATAAAAAAATTCAATGTAAGTATTTTAAATTAGTTCACTTATGTGTTAGAGGGGTGTAAGTATCTGCACATGAGTGCCCAAAGTTATCAGATCACCTGAAGCTGGAGTTGCAATCAGTTGTGAGCCACCCAATCTGTGTGCTATGGGCCTAACTCTGATCCTCTACAACAAAAAAAAAAAAAAAAAAAAAAAAAAAAAAAACTTTTAACCATCTCTCTAGCCCTAAAAATTGAATTTAAAATATATGCTTAGGCAACATAAAATTATAAGAATTCAGAACGCCAATAATGTGCACTTTCCCACAATACAAATCCACTGACCCAACTCTGCTCAATTACAGGCATTTTCATAATGACTTTTGACTAGATGGCATTGCTCCTGAAAGTCTACAGAATAATCCAAAGAATAAGAAACACATAGGAAAGCACTAGTTTAAGCTACCCAGAGACATAGAAACTAATTTCAGATGCAGGAGGAATGTTCTCCAATTTTCCTTCAGACACTCATGTAAAAATATGACTCACAAAAATAGCTGGTTTATTATTTTTTTAAAGCACATGATACACTTGGAATAAATTATCTTTATGAAACTCATCACTATGTGCAATGAATAAACACCAATAAAAAAATTTTAAATCCTAAGAAAACTATCTGGTATGAATATTGTCTCAGAGTTTCTGTTCCTGTGAAGAGACACCATGACCATGACAACTCTTATAAAGGAAGACATTTCATTGTGGTGGCTTGATTATAGTTCAGAGGTTCAGTTCCTTGTCATCATGGTGGGACATGGTGGCATACAGGCAGACATGGTGCTGGAGAAGTAGATAAGAATTCTGCATCTTGCAGGCAACAGGAAATGGTCTGCGACGTGGGGAATAGTTCAAGCATAGGAGAACTCAAAGCCCACCTACACAGTTAGACACTTCCTCAAACAAGACCTCACCTCCTAATAGTGCCACTCCCTATGAGCTTTTGGGGGCAAATTACATTCATACTGCCACAAATATAATGTAAAAAAAAGTTTTTGTTTGTTTAATTCTGAACTTCCCAGAGTACTTTTGACAAAATATGAATCCCATGAGATGCTTTGCTAAAGGAACCACCATGGCCAAATCACCCTGAGAAATATAGCAATCTCTAGTCACCCTTCCTTTTGGGAATTCAGGATGCTCTACAGAACCCCGTAAAAGTAGAAGCCTGGTGTAGGCAGTTTCTCTCCTTCTGTTTAGTTTTGGGTTGTTTTTTTTTTCCCATGAAATATTTTTTAGAAAGGTGTGTTTCATGGGAACACTGATCACTCTCAGGTTATTCTAGTAAGTTTACAGGGGAAATATTTTTTTGAACATTGACACATTGTACTATCCCACAGAACAGCTCCTATTATTGTGCAGCTTATCTAGACTGTGACGTTGATAAGAGAAAGGGAGTACCGCCTGGTGGAGAGACTGATCAATAAGAAAAGTAGGGAGCTGGGTCTAAGTGTTTCTAGGCACTCACTGTCAGGTAAATTAGCATTTCTAAGCCTTGAGATTGTGCTGGCTTCCTATAGTTATCTTAGCAAAGTACCATAAGCATGCTGTCTCAAAACACCAGAGCTTTATTCTTATTCTCTTATAGTCCTAGGGGCTACATGTCTGTACTCAAGTTGTCAACAGATCTGTGATTTCTTTAAATACTGGAAAGAGGAATCCTTTTCTGGTGTTTATGCATATG